TATGTCCTCAATAGCAGGTGTTTGCTCATGCGCTCTAAGGTGGAGAAGTTTTTGAATCCTTGGAATGTGAATAAACTAATTTAATCGTTTGTCTGTCTGTTGAACCTCTAATCTACACAATTTGGACGCTCATGAAGGACTGAGAGAGAACCCTGCTCCAGTAGTAATTCGCGCTCTATTGCGAAATCAGCCGATGGGTTGCTGTACATCTTCCGTCTCTCCAGACATTCAGAGCTTTATATATAAGATTGACTTGCCTATATCTAATTCGCACACTTCATCTATCTTTTTGTCTGGCACAATACAAGAACGCCACAAATATTAGGTCGTGTAATAAGTTCGTTCGCATTTTTTGTTTTAATTTTTTCTCAATAAAAGCAAAGCATTTGACATAGTGTTAGTATGCGTTCGGAAGCTCTAAGCTTGCTCTACCAAAATACTATCATTGTATTTTCAGTTTTTAAAAATTTGAATAAAAAATTCGACTACAAACCGAAAAATCTGAAGTGGCAAAAATCCCATTTTCGACATCTTTTTTCTTCCTTAGTTTTCCCGTTATTCATTGTTGAAATTTATTCAAAAAGCTTGACAACGAAGAAAAACAACTGACTAATAATTTGTGCATTTACTGATACTATTTACGATTGCCCATTTCCTTTCACCGACCGTTAAATGCAATTTTTGCAAAACTCGGCGTAGCAAGGCTTTGCCGCAGCGGTGTTCGCTGTCTTGCGTCCGTGGGCTATGTGTCCCTCCCCTCGAATTCTGAATTTTTGACTACATAAGCCATTTATTCGATGATTTAGCGATCATAGACCACATGCCTGCCAATTCCTGGATTATTCGGCTACCACCTTTCTTCGGAGGTGCCTTCAGATGCTTAACGTTGACACCAAAAAGATAAAAAAAACATACCATTTTTGAGCTTACAATATGAATTGTTTTCTAAAGTTTTTAGCATTAGAGGTAATCTGCGGGAGCTATAGTGTTCTATTTATACATGTCGCAAAATTTTTGAGCTGTTTTTTAAGCGCTCAAACCCATTCAAGGTGCGGCATAACATAGTTGTCGAAAATGGGATTTTCGCCATTTCAGATTTTTCGGTTTGTAGTCGATTTTTTTATTCAACTTTTTAGAAGCTGGGAATATAATGACAGTATTTTGGTAGAGTAGACTTAGAGCTTCCGAATGCATACTAACACTATGCCAAATGTTTTGTAAAATACTGAGAGAAAATTGAAACAAAAAATGCGAACGAACTTATTACACAACCTAATATTTGTTGGCAGCAATAGATTACAGCAAAGCAAACGCATAAAATGAAGTATTTACATACAGCTTTTACAGCTTCTTGGGGTAAAATATGCACACGGCTTCTAAGCCCCACAGCGCGAAGACGGGATTTTTATGATTCACATTGCATCCAAACTGTACTTCTGGGCCTATGTGGTAAGCTTCACTTTTTAGCTGCAATACGTTCAAATCAACATCAACGAATTCTCCCAGAATGCTTTAAAAAGCATTAATTGAAAGGCTGAAATCAAATGCAGAGGAACAATGCTACTGCTCGCCAAGCTTGATGCACTACATAAATGACAATGGCAGCAAACTTTTAAATATTGTTTCAAACACCGTTCGTTGCACCACATTCAGAGAATCTGAGGCTCATTCATTACCTGCTTATAAACTTCTTCACTTTCCTGTCGATAATTCCCACTTCTAATATTTCTGAAAAAAATAACGTTTGAGTGATGAGATAAATGGAAATGCATAATTGCTGTAACAAACTTTAGCCTAACAACGTGAAATTTCTCGTCTATATGATTAGGAGAAGGTGGACCGAAAAGGTTTGACCTCTCAGGATGGTACCCAACAGCATATCCGGCGTAATTGCAGCAGAACTTCTGCAAGTAGAGATCAAGAGTTTTGTTCATGCAAACTTATTCATTCCAAGCATGCAAGGCTTTCGAGTTTAAAATTTATGGCGATAACCGTAGACTGAAATAACAAGCTGACCATATTCTTGCGCTGCAGATCCATATTAAGAATTCGTTCACCTCCATGCAGAAATTTGCATTCCTCAACTTTTGTCTCTACGCAGATTGAAGGGTATCTGATCTGGGCTGCCACCTAAAGTAAAGTAGCTTAAATCACCACCAGGACCTAAGATCCGCTTCAATTTTAACTTACACAAGATAAAAATCCGATAGTGATGAATAAGCCTTGCATTTGCATTGTCGTATACTGTAGTGTATGGTAATACCATCTGCAGTGGGTATTTATACTGACAATGGACGCTCCTGAAAAGAATTGACATTTGCTTAGTGTAAGTTTAATGAAGTTGTGTAAGTGCTCAAATTGACTGATAATGCTTCCACCTATCACTACAAAAAATTGACGAGCCCAAAATTGCAATCTCATTGCTCGTTTTCAAAGCACCGCATTTCATAGGAACATTTAAAAAGAGCCAAGGCTTGACGTGCTGTACTCACGCCACTAGGCAATAACGGCTGCAAAGTGCGACATGCAACGTAGAACTTCGGCATTGGATCAGGTCGCTTTAATTACGTTCGTTTGAATTGCCTCGCGAAAATAATTTCATTGTAAATAATTTTAAATTAAAACCTGCTCGAATGCTAGTGGAGAAAATGTGAGAAGAAGACTTGGGAAGAAAGATTAGGTTGGCACATAAGTTTTGCAACTTATATCGTAAATTTTCTATTTTTGATTGTAACGCACTCATTCTAGAGCATATTGTAAAATAGGCAGTAGGCTACAAATGTATACAAATGTACCAAACATTTTGGTTTTTGGTGGCGAAGTGGAGAAAATTTATGCATTTTTCGAGAGCTGGTCAAATTCGAAATTTCAAGGATCGGAAAACCAGAGTAAAGCCGTTCTCAGTCCGAATCATAAACATCAAGCTCAAACTGTACCCAGATTCAGGGCTCGGCACGAGGTGGCTAGATGAAAATGGAAAAAACGAAGTCCCCCTTGACTTTTGGGAATTTTTACGAAGTCCCCTTTGACCCTGAACCAAATTTCTTCTAAAAACCTGAAAAATTCCCGAAAATCCCCCAAAAAACGAAACGTCGACTAAAAAAAAGGTCGCCGTCGTCAATTTTCCGTATGTCTTCGCTCACAAAAACGAAACCCCCTTTGCTTTTCGTCCCAAAAACGATATCCAGCTTGCTTGTAAGCCATGCCGAGCCCTGCCCAGATTGTTGGTAGAAGAACTCCTAATGATCTATACAGTTTCGGCTTGAGTGCTTGAATCAGATTGAAAACGCCTTTATTTTTGGTTTTCCGATCCTTCAAATTCCGAATTTGACCAGTTTTCGAAAAATGCGTAAATTTTCTCCACTTCGCCACTAAAAATCAAAGTGTTTGCCTACATTTGTAGCCTACTATCTACATTATGCGCAAAATTGAATGCGCCGCAATCAGAAAAGAGAAAATTCACGAAATGATTTGAATCAATAATTTGTAATAAATTAATATACGAAATAAGTTGCAAAACTTATGTTGCAACTCAATATTTTGACTACCTATTGATTCATGAATTTTCAAACTATATCCTTAAGTATCCACAGAATGACTAACAAATTAACACCCTATTAACATTCTGCTTCAACGCACGTGGGTGGTAAATCGTTTACGTCAAGTGTTTTTGCTGCTATAGCTGAAAAGCAGAGCTTCCCTAGTTCCATCTATGCACTTGGGCTTCAGACGTATGACGTAAGCTTGGAACCGAAAATGCTATCTCAGAAAAAATACGTGTACGATAAGTGCAAAAGGATTTTTGGTTTGTGAGCAACGAAGGGTTCTTATTAAGAGTTTCGTTTCGCACGCTTTGTGCGTGAGCAAGTGCTAGAAACCTTCCATAATCGTTTTGTAGTAAGTAGTTTGAAGTTAGCACAAGATGTTAGGCTATTTTTAGATATGCACTACGAATCATGGCACATTTTACATTGTTTTAATAACAATTCAATATGGGAATCTTTTGAAAAATTCAGAGAAAAGGAGAAGTAAAAACTAAAAGTTATCAAGGATTGTTCTCTTGAGTCCTTCCCTATAAATCATAACTTTACGCAATGCAATCCAAACTACTGTAGCGCAATTGAACATTATGTGTGACTTACCCTCTGGTTCAACTGGCTTGGCGGTTGGAAGGCGGGGCTTCGTGACCTAGTTAAGTCTAAGTAATGAGAGAGCAGGCGCGCGAGAGAAACGCAGACTGCGTAGCGGGCGCGAGCGACCTTGAATAGGTTACAAAGCCCCAAATTCCAGAAGCCAAGTCAGTTGAAACAAAAATTACCCGGAATTGAAAAAAGCGTGCAAACCTGTACATTGTACATGTAACAGGATCTGCATAAGCATGATTCAAATATTCCTGTAACTACGATAAACAATGATTTGAGACGCTTCTATCAAAGCGGCTATTCGCTTCTGTTAGAACATGAGTTTAGTTGTACTTCGAATCATGTACCATTCATAAATTTTGAGGTCTGAGGGAGTGGCCAGAAATCGAAGTGGCTAATCAAAGCAAACTACATGCCATTGGATTCAGCATAGAACGCTGACTTCTAATTTGTCTTCCATATCTGCTAAACTCCGACGAAGTTTTGAGCAGTTTTATTGCGAGCACATAATAATTGCGAAATTGAACAGATTATTGGCCTTCTAGCTCACCGTTAGATATGGGTTATATGAAGAATCTAGCTGCATGTTTTGGCCAATCGTTAAACCGAACATGGCTCTGTACTTCCAAATTTGCACTTTGACGCGCGACTTTATTAACGAAATAATGCCTTTTAACGGTCTATAGCTTCGTCCACAAAATTGGAGTCAGTAATTCATGCTGCATCTAATGCATGCAGCTTGTTTAGACTGGACACTTCGAGTTCTGTCCATTCCCTTTTAAGCCATCTTGTTTTTTGTTGTGTTTCAAATGGATTGTCGAAAGTAGCGGAGTATACTCCACACTGCAGCAGCTGAGCATGCTACGAAGGAGGAAGAAGTGGGGTAAGAGGTGACAGATCTTTTAACGAAAGTATAGCACTAGAACACGTTGAACTCTCTTTACTTGTCTGATATGAATGAAAGCTGAGACTCCCCCCAAGAAGCAATAAATTATTCAGTCTTTGTCCTTGTTGGTAAGTAACGTCCTTTTCACTTTCGTGACGGTAAGTAGATTAAGAAAGCAAGTTCATTGTATATAAGAAGAACCCACAGGTCTTGTGACACTTCTTCCACTCTAACAGTATCTCAATTCCAGGTTTGTTCCGACATCTTCAGTTCTTCTACGTGGTAGCTGCGATTGCTGTGATTTAGTTTTCTAAAGCCCTAGTAATAGACTAGAATTAGTTGCCGCGTGTTTTGCTCTTCTGCCAGCATTCGTTTCCCTTAAGCCAACTCATCGCGATTTCCCATAAATATGTCTTTCTTTATTCTGTGGTGGCTGTGGTGTTTCTTTAAATCTGTTTTCTCTTTCAAATATTATACCAGATAAGAGTTTTTTTAAACCAAATTCGAATGGACACGAAATGTTGCATAAAAGTAGCTAAATAAGCAATAAGGTCTTAAAGTGCATTTAGCACAGCATTGCTTTCTTTTTCCATTAACCTAATCTAAAACCAAAAGGACAGCGATTATTTCAGAATTTTGCATTTTTATTTTCAAAGCTGTTCGGTTTCTTATGTTTTCAATTTTTCCATAGTTTTGCGAAGTTTGTAAACAACCATGTTAGAGCAAACTGAGATTGCGAGGATTCTACGGAACATTTACAAATCTTTTTATTGAGCATAACTTTTTCTTCAAAAGTATTAATTTTTGAAAACTTCGGGGTGGAAAACGATATTCATCGGTAACTGAGAAATCCTGCAAAACTTGAACTTCTAGCTGTTTGTAAACTGACGCGAACAAAGCATATGAATTGTTGTATGTCATCTGTACTGTGACTCAATAAAAAGGCTACTGAAAACACGAGCTTTTGAATACCTAAATTCAATGAGAAAATTTTTTTAGAAAGTTGACAGCTTCCGCATCTGTTTGAACATATTTGGTGAAAAAAGCACAGCTTCCTTTCTTTTTATCGAGCTTATTCATTCTGAGGAAATACGGAATGTCATGAAAAGCAAAAAAGATTTTTTAACAGAACCAAAGCAAAACAAAGATCGTGGCACTTATAATGGCAAAAGAGCACATAAAGCAGGATTGATTGATAGTTTTTTTTATTCTAGAACTGTTCTGTTGTTGTTTTCTTATGAAAATTGGATTGACATCTTATTTGCAGGGTAGAAAGAGGACATAAAGTAGGGTTTATTGACCATTTTTTCAATTTGAGATGTTGTAATGTTGTTTTCCTATGCAACTCAATTAACATCTTATTTGCAGGACACCATGAAAATCATTGCTCTGCATTATCTCTTGGCAGTCATTCTATTGGTAAATTTTACTCTAACAAGACCTTCTGAGGAATATGCTTCTATATTTTCCTAGGTATTTTCGACGATTGGAGCAGAAGCTCGCGGATGGGGAAAAGGACAAGCTGGATACTGGCCAATCGTCAACGTACCCGTAAGACAAAGACATTTTCGTCGATTTGGTCACGGCAAATAAATAAGACAAAAAAGTCTACAGTATTGCTTGAGGAAATAAATTGTCTAAGTATCTAAATAAAGATCTACTATCTGCATAATTCCAAGATCTGGAAGAGCAAGTAGAAATTTCATGGAATGCTTCAAACTGTTGAAAGCATTTGTAGGAAAGTTTAGGAATCACTAGAAGTTTACTAATTTGAACAGATTTGACATTTGTCTACCAATCTTAATATAGAATTTGGCAATAACTCAATGAACACTTGTACTTGTCAATGAAATTTCTTGTTTTCAGCAAATTTTCAGTTGTTTCAAAAATTTCGGCTTATTTGACATTAGTATGATTCAATCTAGATTTTTATCCCCTTTCTGATAGCAACATTCTTCTCTTGAGCATTTTAAGAGTGACAATTGTTCTTACCCTAATTTCACGCGTACAAGGCGCACCTTTTTCGATTTTTCAATCAAACCCCTCAGCCGCTCCAAAGTATTTGGGAAAGCGATCCCTATGCCATACGATTCTCATAAGCAATATACAGCACGGCATAGGGTCCTTTGGTTGCAAAGTTCTTTGGCGTATTTGGGCTAGTCAATTTTGGAAAAAAATCCCCCGCGCCTTGTACGCGTGAAATTAGGGTAATTAAAAGATGTCATGGTAGTTTTCGATAATGCGCTGTTTCTGCTATGTAGGACTGAACTTTGATACATTGCACTCATATTTGGTCACTTAGATCAAGCTTCTAAAGTCTATGATAAATGCTTTTTAAAGGAGAATCAGAGCTTTATCGCCTGTAGCATACACGCCTACCGAAAATTTCAAATATGTTTCTTAACAGGAAATCAAATATGATCATTGAGCACAAATGAAAGCAGATGGCACCCGGGTTTTACTTCGTTGAACTCGAAAGCTTGTGTGTTTTTGTTTAGTTGTGTGTCTCACGACTTCAGCAAAAAAAACAAGATTTTAATTATTTTAAGTCTGCAAAGCTTCAAACAGCAAATCGGAAGAGTTAAAAATATCGTATAGTCCGAGATTCGCTCTATTTGTATTATACCTACTTCTCTTTAAAAGTTCAAAGCAAAATTTTTGAAAGTAAGCCGAAGTTGGAGCAGTTAGAAATGACTGAAGCAAAGTTTTGGCAGTTCTAAAAAAGCTTATGAAAAATTATGGCTGGAGAGTGCAATCATTGATAAGAAAGAATTGTGTGACTGAGCTAACGCATTCATTTCTTTGTTTTACGAGATTTTATGATCGTTTGAAAAAACGGACAAAACTTCCAGAAGAGCCCAGTATTTGAAACTTGTGTTACAAGAATGGCATACGTGGGTGGAGAAGTGCTTCCTATTGATTCCGTAATACTCATCTACTAAGCCGGTGCATTGATCTCCGCTCTCAGAGAATAATTTGAAGCTCCTGGAAGGTAAAACATTTGTTTTAATGGTAATCGGGATCCAACCTCGCTCCACTCCTGACTTGGCCTTCCACCACTACGCCACTCGTCCATAAAATAAGATGAGTTCGAAAACTGTTTACAGGTGTGAATATTTATGTGACATAGCTATTATGCATCTACATATTCCCGGCATAGACTGAAAAAGACCTCATAAAAGAGAAGAGCCGACAATGCCGAAACGACGAAACCATTTCTGGAATAATGCAGCACTCTGAAATTTTCCTCCTTTCCTGTAATCGCCCGTTTATAACATAAAGCACTCTTCCATGGGGGGCACGCGGAAGGCGACAATCGGCGAAAAATGGAGGCTGTGTATCATTCGTCTCAATGACTTTCACGGATTTCTACTTGTGGCATTGAGTAATGTATCTGCCCCCCCCCCCCCCCCGTAGTCCCCCGGGGTGTCACTTTAACATTGGAGAGTTTTTGATAGGCACAAAATTGGGGATTGTCGCCTTCCGCACCACACCCCTCTTCCATAATCATCAAACATATCACTTGGCTGAATCTCCATTTTCTTCCAGATTTTTAGTTATTAATCTAATCGTAAAGCTAACAGTAGCATTGGTTAGGTTTCCATTTTCTTCTAGATCTTTGTTACTAATCTAATCGTGGCCAACTATCTAATGAAAAACAATAAATTTTGGTCTCTCCCCATTCAAAACCTGGGATTATCGGAGGAAACAACTTAAAATTGTTTATATGGAAAACAGGATAAGGCTGTTGTAGCATTCGACGTTATTTTGACTTATCAACTTTTTCCGTTTTCCTATTTTGTGGATTAAAATACCAAAATACCAATACCAAATACTGAAGCGTTTATATCTCTAGCTTTATGATTCTCTGAATTTCTTTTGCTCGGCAAAAAATTCAGTTATGCCATTTAGGTCTAGTTCCATTTTGTGATACGCAAAATTGAGAATGAGCTTAAATGTCTATGTGCGTATAAATGCAAACGAAATTACTGTAAAGACATTCATCAACGCTGAAGTAAACTTCAAATTCTAATATATAAAGAATCGTAACGCCAATTAAAAAAACATCACATAGCGGGAAACCGCGGCGGTTCCCGAAGCGAACGCTCCTGCAAATTTAGTACCTTTAGATTACCGGTTCACTACTCCAAGAAACATTGCCGCTACTCAGAATTGACAATTTCAAAAGGAAAACTTGGACCTTTAACGGTGTTTATATTCAAAAAATTGATTTGCATTGTTGGGATCAAAACTTCTCCGACATTGAAATTGAGTCAAATGAAAGTTGAGTCATTACCGTGTCAAGAACGGTGGGTTCCAAAGGAAAACGTGATGTTTATTTGTTACAACAATATGTTCAAGATCAATGAGACCACTCTTCTTGCGTCGGATCCTGGTTCGTTATCTAACTCTACGAATATCGCGGAACTCGTCACTACAATGCCAACAGAAGATAAGGTAAGGATAATTCTTTGCTTGTACCCTACCTGATTTATCTGCCAATATGCAGGAATCTCGCAGAAATTCATCCAAGACTGAAGGATTTATCACCCACTTCTCAAAGCTACTTTCGTTTATCTGAATGTGAATGATAAGAGTTTGATTTGATAAATAATTTGAAAAGATTTAGCACTTTATAAACGATTGAGATTCCTACAATTACGCTTTCCAAGACATGGATCTCGATATGAGACCGAAAATAAAAAATTGTGTTCTCTCTTGGAAGAAGAGAAAGCTAACATAGTGTAGCAATGGTGCTTGACAATTTATGAAAAATTGTCTTTTTTGTGCACCTAATCACTTTTGGTGACCCAGCAATAATTGCGGCATAGTCGCTGTAGAGTACTCGACCTATACAAAAACCATTTTTAAGAATCGGATTTTATGAAGAAAAACTAGCTGCTTACTCGGCTCCGCTCGGCCCTGTCAAAACACTATAATAAAGGTCCCATCCCTAGCCCTGTATAGCCTTTCTCTGTGCCCACTTCTACACTTCATTTCTTGTTCCCTGTGTTGTTTTCGAAATCAGCATGCACACTTACCCGCCTGTGCCAACTCCCAGCTTTTCAGCCCAAATTTTGAAAAGAAATCGATAAAATCGATAAAAGCATTGGATAATTCTGGAAACTAATATTGTTTTCGTAATCAGCATGCTTGATTACCCCCTGTGCTAACTCCCAGCCCCATAGGTGAAAAAATCGATAAAATCGGTATCGATCGATGAAGAAAATTAGCCTATGACACCCGCCCGGCCCAAAGTGTATGTGTGCCAACTTCGTTCCGGATCAGTTGAGAAATGAATCTTCTATTCGGAACATAACCTTTGACTCAACTGGCTTGGACATTAGGGCGGGGTTTTGTGATCTAATTGAGGCCGCTCGCGCCCGCGAAGCACCTGCGTCTCTCTCGCAGAGTGCTCTTTGATCATTACCTAGCCTTAATTAGGACGGAGCCCCGCCTTTGCTGATGCCAAGCCAGTTGAATCAAATAATACATACAAACAAACATACACACGTACATACAGACAGACATTCAGCTTTATATATAAAATTGAATTTACAACGGCTTTTCAGCTTTGACTCTTTAAAACATATGTTTTCTGCATACTGTTGCTCACGTTCGCAATTTCAGCTTCAACAAAACCGGCATATAGTTTACCAAGGATGTTCACTAGAAATACTATGCTTGCATAAAGTTCATTGTGAGCTTCTTTGACTGAATTTCTAGTCACCAGCCACGGATAAAAATATTAATAGAGCAGTGGCAAATTAAGGAGAAGAGAATTTTTTTGAGGATAGATTACAAATATTTGACAACGGTACATTCCAAGAAATTGTACGAGAGACGGTATAAAGGAGATTCTATCGAAAATTTGGACAGTAACACCTAAAATATTTTTTGGAATGCTAAGTTGTCTTACATCAGAAGGAAATTTTCGTTGCTTTTTAAGAAATTTCTGGGACCTCACAAAGTCAGAGTAAGCCATTATTAACGCATGACCTTCCAAGAGGGCCCTTTTATTTCAAATCTGTCGATGTCTGCACTTTGAAGGCAGTGTCCCGGCAGATTCGCGCCCTGGAAGATATTGCTAGTCTGGCCGCGCAGTCTGGCCCAACCCATAGGGATCTCGCACCGAGCGAGGGTAAGCGAAGTCGTCCGAGCTTGCGCCGATTGCGGTTGCGCAGTCTGGCCCAACCCATAGGGTTGGGCCAGACTGCGCGGCGTACGCGACGTATGATGAAATATGCCGAGCGTACGCTGCGTACGCCGCGTACGCCGCTTCCCCGCGAAGTCTGGCTCAACCCTATGGTAGGGTTCCTGTCATCTCACTGACCTCCAGACGCAGTCCGGCTGGTTGATGTTACCCCTGATCAGAGGAAATAACCCCTGAACCGGGGTGCGCAACCGCAATCGGCGCAAGCTCGGACGACTTCGCTTACTCTCGCTCGGTGCGAGATCCACGACCGCATTCCCGCGTTGTGCACGCTATCCAAAGCAAAAATTACAGGTAGCAGGGTCTTCGAGCCAAGGCCTCTCAATTTCCCATTAGAATGTCGTCTGAGCTGCCCTTTGGAAAATGGGTAAACCCCGCCTCGAAAAAGGTCTTTTACCCGTTACACTCAGACAGTTGGAGCGGACAGCGCGCGAGCAGTCACACGGTGGCGCTACATCCGTGCGCGGGTGGCGGGACATTGGATGCCGCGCCGCTGGTGCTGGCCCGCGGATGGCTGCATTTTTTCAGTTTTTTATTGCGCTGTATATCACACTCAGACAGTTGGAGCGGGCCGCGCGCGCGCAGTCACACGGTGGCGCAACACCCAGTGCGCGGGTGGCGGGACATTCGATGCCGCGCCGCTGGTGCTGGCCCGCGGATGGCTGCTTTTTTTCAGTTTTTCATTGCGCTGTATACCAAGGTCTTGATAATGAATTCCACTCTTCGTACGCCAAAAAATATGAATTCGTATTTGAATCCAAAAATTCAGATCCAGCATCCATTTGCAAAGCTACCGAAGGCTAACGCTTGGAAGCAAAAAACAACTTCCACTTCTGCGACTATTCATACACGACGATGTAATATCTAACCTCTTGAATGATGAGGCAGCCTGAACACTGCGTCGTACACTGCGCGGGTATCCCTCGTCCTTACAGCATGTGATAATTGCAGGCGCGCGGGCCGCACGGGTAGAGTATAAAGGCACGCGCGCGGCGTGCTACAAAATTAGGCGCGCCGGTGGCGAGATCGAACATAAACGTAGCGCGCGGGTCGCGGTGTTGGCCATTAATACGCGCGCCGCACGCACCAAATGTCTAGGATGGCACGCGTTTGGCGTAGTGCCGGACACGCCCATAAATAAGGCACGCGCTTTGCCGCATTGACCATAAACGCGCGTGCGCCGCACGCTCCAACTATCTGAGCAAATCTTGATAATGAATTCCACTCTTTGTACGCCAAAAATATGAATTCGTATTTGAATCCAAAAATTCAGATCCAGCATCCATTTGCAAAGCTACCGAAGGCTAACGCTTGGAAGCAAAAAACAACTTCCACTTCTGCGACTATTCATACACGACGATGTAATATCTAACCTCTTGAATGATGAGGCAGCCTGAACACTGCGTCGTACACTGCGCGGGTATCCCTCGTCCTTACAGCATGTGATAATTGCAGGCGCGCGGGCCGCACGGGTAGAGTATAAAGGCACGCGCGCGGCGTGCTACAAAATTAGGCGCGCCGGTGGCGAGATCGAACATAAACGTAGCGCGCGGGTCGCGGTGTTGGCCATTAATACGCGCGCCGCACGCACCAAATGTCTAGGATGGCACGCGTTTGGCGTAGTGCCGGACACGCCCATAAATAAGGCACGCGCTTTGCCGCATTGACCATAAACGCGCGTGCGCCGCACGCTCCAACTATCTGAGCAAATCTTGATAATGAATTCCACTCTTTGTACGCCAAAAATATGAATTCGTATTTGAATCCAAAAATTCAGATTCAGCATCCATTTGCAATGCTACCGAGGGCTAACGCTTGGAAGCAGAAAACAACTTCCACTTCTGCGACTATTCATGCACTACGATGTGATACCTAACCTCTTGAATGATGAGGCAGCCTGACCCTTGCGTCGTACACTGCGCGGGTATCCCTTGTGCTTACAGCATGTGATAATTGCAGGCGCGCGGGCCGCCCGGGTAGAGTATAAAGGCACGCGCGCGGCGTGCTACAAAATCAGGCGCGCGGGTGGCGAGGTCGAACATAAACGTAGCGCGCGGGTCGCGGTGTTGGCCATTGATACGCGCGCCGCACGCACCAAATGTCTAGGATGGCACGCGTTTGGCGTAGTGCCAGACACGCCCACAAATAAGACACGCGTTTTGCCACATTGACCTAAACGCGCGTGCGCCGCACGCTCCAACTATCTGAGCAGAGCCCAAAATCAGTACGAATTGAAAAGGCCCACAACATCAAAGATGGAAAAGCAAAAGCTGCCGTGAGACTGCCTTTAAGATTTGAGAAGATACTCACATGTAGGTTCACAGTAAGATTTTGATCCTAGTTAAACGTATCCTAGTAAGTACTACATACTACCGGCCACAAATTATGACATCCGCAAATGATTTCAATAACAAGCACGGATAGCTGATAACATTGTTTTACGTCTACATAAACCTTCGTAGCGACAGCACATCTCATTTTTAGCATCGTTCAACTCCAAAGAAGTTTACAAGAACCCGTTAACAGTACGTCGAATTGCTGTATCAGCGATTTTCTTTGCTTCGGCGTTTTCCGCAAGTTAAGCAGGCTTGTGGCAACTCTCCAAAAGTTCCGGTACTGTTTTGTAAGATCCAGCTCAAAATGTATAAAAGCCCGCCTTAGCTATAACGCAATCTATTCTGGTGCAAGCCAAAGAGGTGCAATTAGACGGGGCCGGTATACATGCTTTTTCGTTTCGAGATCTGCCATCATAACTTACCAGTGCGTCACCTCTGCTTCGCAGAGGCTCGCACTGGCTCTACTATCTAGGCCCTACTCATTCTCGCATAATGATGGCATTGGAACTCACCGAGCAATGCCGATTATCACGAACAAAATGTAAACAACTACTCATTCCAAAAGCTTTTTATGTGAAATCGGTGATTTCGCATGGATGAGAATTTTTGCAGGAGAACAAACGCAAATTCTTACAGGTTTTTGATTTTTCCATGGTCTTGACAGTTGCAGTAAGGACAGCAGTCACCGTGAGCTAGATCTTTGTGCAAAAATCTCGTCAAATGCTCTGGTAAAACCTTGGCAAATTGACCATTTATGCAACCAATACTTTTTGGCGCCGTTTTTCTGAAGTAATGGACTTTTGATCACCTTTTTGGGTCTAATTTCATGGTTTGCGCTTTTATTTGGTATAAACATCCACTACTTTGCAAAACGTGGAATTACGGACCCATTAATGCGGCCCAAATGCAAAATGGATCCGTTTGACGCGCAGTTTCTGAGTGATCCACTCAACGAATCTGCTCGTGCTTTTGCATGTTGGACTTTCATGCGAGGAGCATGCGCTGTGCAAAATTTGAGCCCAGGAGGTTGGCTGGAACACGCTCTACGAATTTCGTAACAGACACACTCACACACACACAAAGTCACGTAAACATCCTTAACCCGTTATTATAAGTTAGGATAATAACGGGCTAAGGATGTTTACGTGACTTTGTGTGTGTGTGTGTGTGTGTGTGTGTGTGTGTGTGTGTGTGTGTGTGTGTGTGTGTGTGTGTGTGTGTGTGTGTGTGTGTGTGTGTGTGTGTGTGTGTGTGTGTGTGTGTGTGTGTGTGTGTGTGTGTGTGTGTGTGTGTGTGTGTGTGTGTGTGTGTGTGTGTGTGTGTGTGTGTGTGTGTGTGTGTGTGTGTGTGTGTGTGTGTGTGTGTGTGTGTGTGTGTGTGTGTGAGAGTGTGTCTGTTACGAAATTCGTGGAGCGTGTTCCCGCCAGCGTTCTAAGCCCAAATTTTGCATAGCGCATGCTACCTTCATGAAAGTTCAACATGCAAAAGCATGAGTAAATTCGTTGAGTGGATCCCTCAGAAATTGCGCGCCAAACGGGTCCACCTGGCTTCTGTACCGCAAAATTCGGTCCGTCCGTATCACCACTTTTTGCAGAGTCGTGGATGAGTTTGGTAAGCAAATGTGCAAGCGATGGAGCTTAGCCCGAGAAATGGTCGAAAGTTTACTACATAACGAAAACGGCGCCAAAAAAAATTGGTTGTGTAAATGTTCAAATTGCCAAGGTTCTAGCTAGGCGTTTGAGAAGATTTTCGCACAGGGATGTAGCTCACGGCTACTATTACCTCTATGGCGACTACCAAGCCATGACATATTCAAATTTGCGTTTGTCTTCCTGCGAAAAGTTTCATCCACGCGAAATCACCGATCTCATGTGAAAAAACTTTCTGAATGAGTAATTGTTTACATTTTATTCATGGTAGTCGGCATAGCGCGGTGAGTTCCAGTGTCACGATTTTACGAGAATGAGTAAGGCACATAGATAGTAGAGCCAGTGCGAGCCTCTGCGAAGCAGAGGTGACGCACTGGTTTCTTGATATTGCGATAGTTGCTTCGTGCTTAGGCGAACAACCAATGACTTTCTCTGTCGCACAGAAGATGATTAGCCAATGCTTCTTCACCTGTGCAGTTCTGTGTCACATCCGAAATCAGTTTATTCACTTACTTTCCAGGACAATCAAGAAAGAAATGATCGTCAGGAAAGTAGTAATCGGATCGAGTTGCAAACTGTTGCTTTTACTTTTCGCTCATATAAATGCAGAGTCAGGTACAGTTTATTCTCAAGAACTGGTTAAGTCATCTCAAAAGTTCTGTCTTTGTCCATGAATTCATAAGTTCTTGGTATCTTGACAGATCACACTACTTTCACGCCGCGCTTGAAGCTTTTATCAGCTTTCTATTACACGCATAATGCCGAGACAGAAACAATAGAAGAGACCATTCAAATTTGGTTTTTATGTGATTCGTTGAAGGAGGAAGTGGAAAGACTTTTTATATGATCAATAACTTTGCAGCTTTCTCGCTCCTACCTCACACCTGGACCGGTAGTAACCTACCCAATCTGGGGCATCATAGATGCCGGCAAGTTGGCAGTCATCGCGTGAACTTGCCAACACCGACGGCAGCTCGTGGATTGGCTGTTGGCTTAGATAGTTCCATATCATTTCAGTCCGCAGTTACTGTTTCTGCAAAACATTTTGACGCACTGTCCTTCGCAAAGCAATGATATCGCGTGCGTTCGAACCGCGATTGCGCTATCCAGTAAACCGCTCGGTCACTATTTGATGTTAAAACTGTTAAAACAAAGACAAGAGGGCATGATCAATACATGCTGATAGACGTTGACCTGAACGAAGAGCTGATTGATATGGACGCGATAAGACGAATTGTTGCATAAGAGGCTGTTAACAAAAAGAAGGCGATTTCGCTAAAGTTTTGGGATAATATCGGACTCTTCTACATATAATCTTTTCAATAAAAAAACCAAATAATTACAAAAGTGATGATCTTTTGATAAAAGTAGATTTTTTGACTTATGAGGTTGGAGTGATGCAACTCTTTATATAACTTTTGTCTTATAAACGTAGCGCATTCGATTTCTGGCAATATAAGGATCATAATGTAAACTGAAGTGAGGACATTTTTGCCGAATTTTGCCATCTTATGCAAGGGTTACAGAAGATTTAGGTACAATGCAAAATTTTTGGATTGCATCAGATTTTGCTGAAGCTTCGCCTGTGGGGGTTATTCGACATGCTGATCACAAAAATGAGACCTGTTTTGCATGATAAGGCCTTTTTCGTAAGGTCAAAAAGTGGATATTATCTTAGCAACAGATGGATATGATATTCGCGGTTATCGTATTGGATTACCCTGTTGTGCAAATTTTAGCGAATTTGAGATTTTGCAGCTTAGTTATTGGGAGCTTGTCTTTAAAACTTGGCGCATTTGACTTGTTCTACTTCTCGAAACCCCTTATCCCAGTTTGTCTTTGTTTCACTTCTTTTTTACTGATTCGAATGTGTTAACCTCCAGCTACATACTGCTTATGATTCCTTTTTGATATGTTTGATTCAGGTTTTGTACGGCTGCTTCGAGTTTTCCAAAAAACCACGAAATCTCAATTTCCAAGGGCTTTTGAAAAATGCTTAAATTTTTTCTACTACGTTATCATAAATCAAACAGTTTGCGCACGCTTGCTTTACGTCACACTCTACAGATGCCAGAGAGTGAGAGTGCTTCAACGAGTAGAAAAAAATTATGGGAATGGTTGCAAAACTTATGTGGCAACCTAATATTTGGTTAACGTAAATTGTTTGATACGCCGCACTATTTAAACTCGCAGACGCCGCCAGCAAGGTGTCAAGCTACGACGTGGTAGGGGCACGTCGAGATGCCAGCAACTTTTCCTCTTAAGGGAGCACTCTGTTTCTCGTGCTCTATAGCTTGCCGGCATCTACAGTCGAATCATTCCATATGATCATGTCTGTCATTGCACACACCGTCCGCTTTTGGCGTTCGCATCCCGGACTACTAGAAAAGGCAACCTTAAGTATTTTCAACGTGTTTTCAAAGTTTTCTTTCCTTTTTAGGTAGTATTCACCTCAAATTGATGTAAGCGATCGCAATCGGTTAGGGTTTTACGTTTTTGCGATTGCGAATCCAGGATGAGGACGCCAAAAATGGACGGTGTGTGCGGGTGCACACATGATCATATGAAATAATTAGACTGTACCACCTCGCAAATTACGAGCCTTTTCAATATTTTCTATAGGGAGATTCTTGAAACTTCATACCTTGATGGGGGGTTTCTCGCAGTCGCGATGGCACCTTCATCTATAGGGGCCTGCAGGATCGCGAGAGTCGGACGCGCGTACGGCCTTTGCGCCGCGCACGCCTGATATCGCTGGGTCGTAATCCATTAAGGCTAGTTAGGTAAGTTCTTTTGTTTTTCTTTACATTTCACGCCTTCTTTTCTTTTCAGGCGGCGAACATATGTTGGTGCAGAGGAGTTTAAGATCTAGATTAAGGTGAGGTGCAGGATTATGCTCAATACGGGCCAATATTGTGGACTTTTCACCCCTGCTTTGAAGAATGTTGAGTTTTCTGCTCTGGCTGTCCGATTATGTTCGATTTTTCGTCCTGCGCCCGGTTACGAAACTCCGTTTTATTTGCAACGTCTGTTCTACCTCATCTTGCATCATGCGCGTCATCACAATCATAATCATTGTCATCATCATCATCATCATCACAAGCAATATGCAAGATAAGGTAGAATAGACGGTAGAAATAGAACAGTTTGCTGTAACAGGGCAGCAAGGACAGAAAATCCAACATCTCAACCAGCAGGCATGGAAGGTCTGCAATATTGAGTCCGTATTGAGCATAATCCTGCACCTCACCTTAATTCAGATCTTAAACTCCTCCGCACCAACATGTGCTCACCGTTTGAAAAGAAAAGAAGGCGTGAAATGTAAAGAAAAACAAAAAAAAAACTTACCTATCTAGCCTTAATGGACTACGACCCAGCGATATCAGGCGTGCGCGGCGCAAAGGCCGTACGCGCGTCCGACTCTCGCGATCCTGCAGGCCCCTAAAGGATTTTTCTGGAGAGAAAACGTGAAAGTTTTAGATTTGGAATCTTATTGTTGATTCATGGCGATCTCACGGCAAGGTGCCACAATGCAGGAGAGACCTGCCGCCAGGTCGGGGGCATACTACCGGCTGCTTTGCACCTATCGCACCTTAAACTTATAATCTCCACTGGGTAGGGGGAAGGCCCCTTTTACACATTGCTCCGAGATCATCGGGGGCGAGCAAAAGCAAGGATAGGTGGTCTAGTGTCAATAACATGCGCCTGTTCCACAGGTGTCCATCCGCGGGCAAATGTTCAAAGCATTTTTTTTAAACTAGACTAAATAGATGAGTAGATTGTGATTAAAATTAGATGTGAAAAAGAGGTGTGAAAATATGTTGAAAATATCGGAATTTAAAGGAAGTGTACCGGCAGATTCACGTTTTGGGGATGTAGCTTTGGTGGCTGCCCCCCCCCCTTCCCTCCCTCCCCCCTAATCTCCCGCACCAGTCCTGCTGGTGATGTTCTCCCTGCGCCGAGAAAATAGCACTCGAACCCGCAAGCGCAACTCTAATCGGCGGCACTCGGACGGCTTTACATTTTCGGCGCGTGACCCCAAGGCTTCCCGCATTGTGCATGCTATAGAAAGCAAAACTACAGGCAGCAAAGTCTTCGTGCGAGCCTCCCAACCTTTTATTAGATCTCTCGTCCGAGCTGCCTTTTGGAGACTAGGTGAACGCCCCTCAAAACGGTTTTTTCACCTCGTTCAAAATTCAAATCTGGGTTCTACGTGTCGAAAAGGCCTGAAACATGCAAAAAGATGGAGCAAAATTTGCCGAGACACAGTTTCATTAAAAACGGGTTGCCGAACTGCAATGAATAAAGTTTTGAGCAAACAATAAAGCTTTTCCAAATGTATTTACCACTGAGTCTGGAATTGGCGAGCTGCACAGTGCACCGCCATGCGTTGGCAGCAATGTCGAACTGCAGTAGCTCCACTTGACCCACACCTTAAGGCACCCGCCATACTTACCCCTCTTAATCCGCTTGATCCGCTTGATCCGCTTAATCCGCTTGATCCGCTTGCTCCGCTTCTTGCAGGACGCGTGCAAAACGCGCGCACACAACAGTCTGTCATTTGGCGTCACGTACAGCGAATTTGCTCAACCATACGGGATTGCTTTTTACCTACGCGGCGCCAAATGACAGACTGCTGAGTGCGCGCGTTTTACACGCGTCCTGCAAGAAGCGGAGCAAGCGGATCAAGCGGATCAAGCAGATCAAGCGGATTAAGCGGATCAAGCGGATCAAGAGGGGTAAGTATGGCGGGTGCCTAAGTAATCCTGACTTTTGACAAAACACCAGGATGCTTACAATACGTCAATTTTGTGGACAGTGCTGGAAAATTTGTTTGTCAGAAACATTGTTTGAGATATTTTTCTAAAATGAGGCATAAAAGAAATAGAATTTAATTTTGAGTAAAAACATAAAATTGAGTAAAATCTCAATCAATTGTCTAATCTTAAAGGCAGTGTCCGGGCAAGATGGGGGTTTTGGGATTTTAGTGCCATGCGAGAGTGGCTCCCCTCAGACCCAACACTGCGCAAGCGCGACGTCTTAACGCTCGACCTAAAGCAAGAAAAACGACCGGAAAGTGGGCAAACTTACGCCTTAGGGCGGGGTCCTCCAAACTGCCCGAATATCTGCAGAGTCAAAATCGTCGAAACAATCATGGATCAGTTTGCGTGCATTCTAAAAGATGGTCTGAGAATAAAATAATGCAAACCAGCTTTCAGTTTCCAAATGGAGCGGCGGAGCGAGGAAGTTTGCAAACGCTATATTTTTTCAAAATTTATTTGGATATGCCCTTATCGATATTGTAAGATTGTTTTAGATTTTCTCTTTCCCTGACTTTGCTTTCAAAGTTAATTTTCTGGCATGTACTGAACAGCCTATCAGAGACTATGGAGTCAGTGAATCATGGCCAAATGACTACGGTCTAGTATGAACCCATCTTTATGATTTGTAGGATAAGTGAGTAGTACCAATTGTTTTCTGTAGGCTCTACTGATAGGAGTGAGTGCCCTTCGTAGGATGAGTATAGGCCGTCCGCGCTGCGCATGGAGAGCAACGCTGTCGTATACGTTGAAGGCAGTTCACGACTGGAAGAAGCGCAGAGAAAACAGACGCGGGAGTGTACGAGAAAAGAGGAGTGACGCGCAATACACATCTTGCGCACTCTCCGCGCCCTGCGCGGACGGCCTATAGAAAGGCACTCACTCCTATCAGTAGAACCTACAGAAAACAATTGGTACTAAAGCTATATGACCTGCTCCTTCAAATAAACAAAATTAGTGCTTATTGGTCATCAATGGAGAGTGATTGTTGACCGAAAGAAAGCGATTTTTTTGGTTTTCGAGGTATGAACTTTCATAAGAACGCCTACATAGTACAAGCTTTGCTGAGTTGATGCGTAGATTACAAAATTTTAAACAACTGACTGTTGTAAAGAGTTTCAGTTTTGGCGATTAAACATTAAGCATCCCCGAAATTTTGATGAACTTCTTCTATATCAAAATTGCAATGTTGCATGCTTTTGTTTCAAGTTGGATTTCATTTATATAAAGCACACTAGCTGGCTTACCCGGCTCCGCCGTATCCGGACCAAACTTGGCACACATACACTTCGGGCCCCGGCGGGTGTCACAGTCCACTTTTCGTTATCGATCGATGTCGATTTTACCGATTTTTATCGATTTTTTCGCAGAGTTCACCTACAGGGCTAGGAGTTTGCACAAGGCGGTAATCGAGCATGCAGATTACGAATACAATATTAGTTTTCAAGATCGTCCATTACTTTTATCGATTTTATCGATTTTTTTGTAAGGTTTGACCTGCGGGGCTGGGAGTTTGCACAGGGGGATAATCGAGCATGCTGATTACGAACACGATATTAGTTTTCAGGATCGTCCATTACTTTTATCGATTTTATCGATTTTTTTTGTAAAGTTTGACCTGCGGGGCTGGGAGTTTGCACAGGGCGGTAATCGAGCATGCAGATTACGAATACAATATTAGTTTTCAAGATCGTCCATTACTTTTATCGATTTTATCGATTTTTTGAAAATTTGAGCTAGGGGGCTGGAATTTGGCACAGGGGTGTAATCGAGCATGCTGATCACCCCCCTTGGGGATGATCAGCATGCTCGATTACCCCCCTGTGCCAACTCCCAGCCCCGTAGCTCAAACTTTGCAAAAAAATCGATAAAATCGATAAAAGTAATCGATAATCCTGAAAACCAATATTGTATTCGGAATCCCCATGCTCGATTACCCCCCTGTGCCAACTCCCAGCCCCGTAGCTCAAACTTTGCAAAAAAATCGATAAAATCGATAAAAGTAATCGATAATCCTGAAAACCAATATTGTATTCGGAATCCCCATGCTCGACTACCCCCCCGTGCCAACTCCCAGCCCCGTAGGTGAACTCAGCAAAAAAATCGATAAAAATCGATAAAAGTAATCGATAATCCTGAAAACCAATATTGTATTCGGAATCCCCATGCTCGATTACCCCCCTGTGCCAACTCCCAGCCCCGTAGGTGAACTCAGCAAAAAATCGATAAAAATCGATAAAATCGATATCGATCGATGACGAAAAGTAGCCTATGACACCCGCCGGGGCCCGTAGTGTATGTGTGCCAAGTTTGGTCCGGATCGGTTCAGAAATGGAATTTTCTATTCGGAACATACGTACAGACAGACAGACAGACAGACAGACATACAGACATACATACATACAAACAGACATTCAGCTTTATATATAAGATGACTATTTATTTCGAATGAAATCAACTTTATGCTATTCCTGCAAAAACTTATAAGTTACCTAAGGCATACCTTCTCCAATTCCATCAAATTGCTACATTCAAGCTACTGGGCGACTCGCCAGATGTCTTCAGAATGACCGTGCGCTGGTCTCAAATGCACATACGAGTAGCTTTTGTAAGTGGGCGCAAAGCATCAAGTCTGGTCGAAGCAAAGCGCGCTTATGACTAATTGTGAGAAGTTGTTGCAATACCAGATCGCGCAGCAAATGGAATGACGTGAGGCATGCCTTAGATCGCGCATCCGTACTTTTGCATTAATCTGTATAATGCGCGGATTACAGATACGTTCTCGAAGTTCTGCCTGATGCCGTCATATTGTGGTAGCGGTACTCTAGAGGTGACGAAATGCTTCTATTTTATACATTCTCCGAAATTTTTTACAAATCTATCTGAATGGTGATTTACTGTAATGCATATCTATTAAGAATACTGCAAAGTGTACAGTAGTCTATCCAAGAGAAAGTAAAGACGCTGGAGAGGCAGAAGACTTTTGTCACTCCGCATCGCCTTATACATTGACTTCCTCTAAATATGGAAAGAATACTACTTGTGTTCACGGTGAGTGATGGATAAGAAAAAGTGCTTAGCGATCATGCTTTTCTTTGAAATTGATTTGTATATTTTGATGTGCTGAGTTGGTATTTTTGCTGAATATCGAAACAATCTGTTATACTTTTCATTTTAACTCTCAATATCGGAGGATTTGAAAAGATCCCGTATTCAGGCACGAGGGAGATTCAAAAGATCTATTCATCATACCATTGCATCCGCTTCCCGTGCGCAAAGCATCCACTTTGTGGCTAAAAATCCGTTCGGCTTCCATTTTTGTAGATGAGTTGGCGTTCTTCCAGTGATAAACGAGAGAGTGGACGATGTGGTAATCGGGCAGGGCTATGTCTATGGTGTTTAGCAAATATGGGGATATGGCGCATATACCTTGTACCGTGCGTACAGTTTGATAGTCAGAGAGAGGGTCTCAAATGCGAAGGTTGTTTGAAGAGATAGAGAAGATAGGAAGATGCACGACAAACGGCAAAAGCAAAAGAAACTTTGCAAAATTGGATAAAAACTCTGCAAAGAGTTTGAAATCTTTCATTTGGCGGAATTTCGAATTGCGTTTTCGCTTCAGAACCAGGCACTCAACAAAACGGGGGAAAACGAGTGAAAGCTAATTTCTTCTTTGTAACTTTTGCTTGAAGGTTTTGGTTACTTGAAGTTATTGCGCATTATTTTCAAAAAGTCATAATTTCCTTGCGACTCGATGGATTTCGTCAAAATTATATACATTCAAAAAAAGAATCAATGCTCTTTACAGCAGTACCTTTGACATGAATTACTTTGAAAAACTTTGAGAGTTACAAGCAATTGGAAATCAATCGAGTTTGCCATTTTTCGAGCTGGGTCACGATAAATTCTGAAAGTAATTTTGTTTGATAGAGAAAATTATGCTCATTACAATGGTACCTTTTTCATGAATTAAAACGAAGTAGATCGAGAGTTAGAAGAAATAAAGAGAATTTCTTCAGTTTTGCAATTTTTGAGCAAGCTCAAAAAAGCCTAAAAACTCACAGAAAAGACGGGAAAGTCATGAACATGGATTTTGTGACCTTTTTCTCTAGCTGAGCGGAAATCGTGCTTATCCAGAGCAATTTTCGTTTTCGTGTAAAACGCAGACCCGAGAATCCGAGAAAAAAAATCACGAAAAACAAAATTGCTCTCGATTAGCTCGAATCTTGCTCAGCTAGAAAGAAAAGGTCACAAAACGCATGTTCATGACTTTTCCGTCTTTTCTGTGACGTTTTTAGGCTTTTTTGAGCATGCTCAAAAATTGCAAATCAGAGGAAATTTTCTTTATTTCTTCTAGCTCTCGATCTACTTCGTTTTAATTCATGAAAAAGGAACCACTGTAATGAGCATAATTTTCTCTGTCAAATAAAAATACTTTCAGAATTCAAGGTGACCCAGCTCGAAAAATGGCAAACTCGATTGATTTTCTTCAATTGCTTGTAACTCTCAAAGTTTTTCAAAGTAATTCATGTCAAAGGTACTGCTGTAAAGAGCATTGATTCTTTTTTTGAATGTATATAATTTTGACGAAATCCATCGAGTCGCAAGGAAGTTATGACTTTTTGAAAATAATGCGCAAGAACTTTTAAATCAACTTAATACCTTGGTAGTGGTGATTATGATCGAGAAAAGGAACGAGAAAAAAACCAGTTATGAAAACGTAAAATTCTGTTTTTCCTAAGTCGAAATGCACGTCTAAGGCAATCTAGCTTTTGATGCTTCTTTTGAATTTACCCCCTTCCCTCCTCTTTGCTTTTGGCGACCTTGTCAGCTTTGTTATGCTCATAATCCCGAGCAAAATGCTCCTAAGGCCCCAAGCAGACTTCAAGCGATTTGGTCGTCGCAACTGAATCGCGACGAGACAACTGTTACAACATCATTCCATGCCGATCAACTTGCATTCGGTTGTGATACTTCTCTAGACCGAAATTTTTGAATGTGAAATGAAAATGAATGATCTTGGCGATTAGATCGCGACGATTAAGTCGCGTGAATTCTGCCCGGGGCCTAAGAATGTAAGAAATGATTGCTTACCAAATCCAATAGAAGTCTATAAGGAAATGCACTTTTTGCAGTTTTTTGACGGATACTTCACCACAGTTAAAAAGTTAGAACAGAATCAAGATCTATCTATTGCACGAAAAAGTCTTGAAAGGAACTAAACTGGAGAAAGAACCAGAGATTTTCGAAATCACGGTTTTTGCTAGATTTCTCGTTCAAATCAAGAAATGGGGTTCTGCGACGTTGTCAGCGTGGAAGTAGACGTTAAAGGCAGCGTCCAGGCAAAATCTCGACTTCTCTTTTTTGCTTTCCAAGCTTCTTCATGACGCTGATTCCAAATATGGTAGTCGAAATGTGTTAATTCCTCAAAACCACATTTTTTGAGACAATTTTGTAAAAAGCCTGGATGAGTGCTCCCAATGTACCTTTGTCTAAAGCAAGCATTAACAGGTAGACCCTATGTGTTCGATTGTGTGCCACGTAAAAACACGTCAAGGCCTGAGTAGAGTTCGTTCAAAAGGGCGGACCGTTCGCCCATTCTCTCGAACGGTCTGCCCCCTTTAACGAACTCTCCTCAGGCCTTGACGTGTTTTCACGTGGCAAACAGGATGGTACACATAGTGTCTACCTGTTGATGCTTGCTTTCGACAAGAATGGCATTCGAAGCACTCGTCTACGGCTCTCACAAAATTGTCCCAAAATGGGTTTTTTTTGGAGGAATTCACGCATTTCGACTGCCATATTTGGAATCAGCGCCATGAAGAGGCTTGGATAAGGCAAAAAAGAGAAGTCGAGATTCTGCTTGGACGCTGCCTTCAAGAGCTTTAACATGATAAACCATTGCGTCACCTCCGCTTTGCGGAGGTTCGCACTGGCTCTTCTATCCGTATACCTTCCCATGCTCCATAATAATGACTCATCGCGCGAGGCTCTACGTCACAAATGAATTGGGAACAAGTGTTCGTTTTTGAGGCATCTCCAAGTAGGATTGGTAATTTGGAGGAAGAAAACTTTTTTGCAAAGAAACAAATGCGAATTTGAATGGATTACTGGATTTGTTTTGGCTTAATGATCGTCATAAAGATAATAGTCATTTTGGGCTTCATTTCCAAGCAAAAATCTTTCCAGTTTTTCAAGCAAAACCTTGCCAAATCGACTGCCTACGCGATCACTACTTCCTAGCGCTGTCGCAAAAAAGCAAACTTTTTAAGCACTTTCTGGGCTCGAATTATGGGGCGCAGATTTACTTGTCAGGCAAATCGTGACCTTGCAAAAGGTCGTGTTAGCGACATAGTTTTGCGTACCAAAAGCCGCGTGGATCAGATCGACAGGCAAATTTTGAAGGATCCGCCCATCGAACTGGCTCGTTCATGTGTATGTGCACACACACACACACACACACACACACACACACACACACACACACACACACACACACACACACACACACACACACACACACACACACACACACACACACACACACACACACACACACACACACACACACACACACACACACACACACACACACACACACACACACACACACACACACACACACACACACACACACACACACACACACACACCAATATAGCAAATAGCCTCCGCGCTTGCCTCAGAGAAAGGATGTAATTTCACATTAGAGTCAAGCCCATCTATACAAGGACAGTCGAAAATAGCGCACAGACCTACGAACTTTCCCGCGAGATGGCTGTTCGCGGGCAAGGGTTGCGTTCAGCGTTGTGTATACTTTTGCTAAGCAGTAGTCTTCAACAGCTAAACAGCAAATGCGCATAAGGAAGTCTTGCCTATAATGCCGCAACTGTGCAAAATGGCAGAACGCACATTTTCGGTTCTGTGCGCCCTTGACCATTCCCTCGCGCGCATGTGCCGTTGGTATGAGAATGATAACGCTATACGAACCCGAACCTCAAATTATGCTTGCATATAACCGCACTGCTTTACCTCTTCAATGTTGAGTGCGAAGTTTGCGTTATAAAACGTTGTGGTAGCACAGAAAAACACAGGTTTACCTGATATATTCAAAACAATTTTCAGAAAGAGGCTATGTTTGTGAAGATGGAGAGCAAGAACTTTACGATAACTGCCTGATAATGGTGGAACCACGAGGCGATAAGTTTAGCAATAAGTTGTGCCCAGAGGGATACCAGTTACACGTTCTTGGAGGAAGAGATGAAGCAAAATGGATTGCTAGTAAGGAGATATTACTGCGCAAGTTTGTGAAACCCATCGTACTTATCCGAAATTTCGCAGACCCTCAAAAACGCAACCCACCCAAAAAAAGGACTCGAGTTAACAAACGTAGAAACCCTTCCGCGCATAGATTTGGCGCTTGTGCGTCCAGCAAGCAAAACAACCTTCTGCGCAGAAAGTGAACTCCTAATGTCTCGAAATTCCAAAGCAAGAATTGTGATAGTAGTACGGTGCAGGGTCGAGTGTGTTGATGCGATCCGGGACTCTCTTTTACGACCTCCCGTCACTCCTGAAAGCACCCATACGACAACACGACCCTTCCCCTTCTCCCACTTCACACCCCTCCCCATTTCCGCGCTTTTGCGGTAGTTTGCATCAACTTTCGCAATACATTAAAAGACCATTGGACGCTGCTTAGAAATTACACGCCAGAGGAAGAGAAATCTACTTAAAAATCGGGAGATAATGCAATGATGGTTTATCTTTATCTTTTATTCATACTCAACGGTTCCACATGTTAGTGATAAATACCGTGATGATTTTGTCTGAGGCTTCCGTCAATCAGTATGTTACCATATATGCATGTTCCATTCGCCTTCATCCACGAGAATCCATAACTAGTTCTTGCCATTTACGAGCAGATTCAAAGATATTACAGTGCTTTCGTATGTCGTCTTACCATCTAGTTCTTGGTCTGCCATCACCAAAGCGTCTTTCGACAGATGGTGTCCAGCGCGTGAGAATTTTGGTCCATCTTTCTTCACCTTGTATCCTATAGATTTTCCCAGCGAACCGCCACTTCCTTCTCCGTGCCGCCGCTACCACATCCTTCAACTTCGTTATAGAACGAATCCAAATTGAAGATTTGGAGTCCTTCAGTCGAAATCCAAGCATCAACCTTTCCATTGCTCTTTGGCATCGGAGCAGTTTCAGCATTAACTTCCTGGTGGTTGCCCATGTTTCACAGCCATACAGAAGTGTTGGAAGGATGATTTTGTTGAAGTAGTGGCGTTTTAGGTAAACAGCTACGTTTCTGTTGGTGAGAAATCTTCGTATTTTGCCAAAAGCATTCCATGCCATCCCAATACGTCTAGAGATTTCTTTGTCGTGATCGCGCGGGCATTGCAGTAGCTGACCAAGATAGACAAACGAGTCTACGCGCTCGATGGTGTTGCCGTTTAGTGTAATTGTTGAAGTTCTCCAAATGCGATCTCTGTCCTCTCCCATCCATTTTGTTTTTCTTTCATTCATTTGAAGCCCAATTTGCTGACAAGCTTCAAGAATTTTCACGGCCATTGACTGTAATCGAGTTGGGCAACGACTTATAAGCACAACGTCATCCGCAAATGCAAGGTAGTGAAGTTGTTTTCCACAGATATTATAGCCATCTCCATCTTCCCAGTGGACAGAATCAATTGCGAATTGAAGGCACGTGATGAAGATAAGCGGCGATAGAGCATCCCCTTGGCGAACTCCTCTCTGTATTTTGAATGGAGCATTGGTTTCATCAGATTGAAGCGAGGCCGTAGCTGCTTGATACAAGAGTCGTATCATTATTATTGTGTCGGTATCAACTCCGTAATGGGCAAGAGCTCTCCAGATTGAGTCGAACTCGACGGTATTGAACGCTTTCTGAAAGTCGAGAAAAAGGAATGCGATTGGTAGATGGTATTCATGCGTTTTCTCAATGAGTTGATTGATAGTTTGTAAGTGGTCAGTGGTTGAGAAACGCTGTCGAAACCCAGCTTGCTCAATAGCCAGATATTTGCATACTTTTTCTTCGACTCGACAGGCCAGTGCCCTCGTCAAGACTTTGTAGACTGTGGGTAAGAGAGAAATCGGTCGATGGTTGTTAATATCATGGCGGTCACCGCTTTTGTGAAGCAGTATCAAGGAGGCATGGGCGAAGTTGGTAGGAACCTTGTCTTCGAACATTCGATTGATAATATTTGCAAGTTGGGGTGCAACAACTTCTACACCATACTTCGCAGCTTTAGAACGAATGCCATCAATTCCTGGAGCAGTGTTTCCTCTAATCTTTGAAGCTGCTTTCCTTAGTTCATCGGCGCTGATAGGATGAGTAATAGTTCGTTGGCTGTGGAATGGAAGCGTGGTCCCGCGGGCCGCGTAGAGTTCAACGAAAAAGGTATTAGCAAGTGATTGAGCTTCTGTGGAAGTGCTGGTCATAGTCCCATCTGGCCTCCGCAATTGACATACGACTTCATGTTGACGAATAAGCTCGAGACGGCCGCGTTTAATACGATTGCGTTCGATGGCTCGTTTTAAGACGGAACAATGATGCCGATAGAGATCGTCCTTTATTGACCATCGCGCAGTCTTGCAGACAGTTACGTAATCAACATGAGCGTTTATAGCGTTCGTCTGCTTCAATCCATACTTCAGTTCACGTCTTATTGTTAGAAGAAGAAGAGATCGAGTTCGGTTAGAGATTCGTTCCAGCGGCTCCCAAGAAACTTTGGCAAAATCAGCAGCATCCCGAATAGATTTACACAGTTGTTGCCAAGAGTTAACCGGGTCAGTCGTAGTGAGTGTTGAGGATGAAAGTTTGGTAATCCGTTTATCACTAAGCAATGCCGCTTTCATTTTTATCTCACTATAGTCTGGGGGCAGTTGACGAGAATGGAGATGGAAGCGTGTCGTGCGAAGATTCACATCGGCTCGAATAAGACGGTGATCGCTCCCCGCGTTAAACCTATCCAGAACAGCAACATTAGTTATGACCCGTGGTTGGCGCGTCAATACATAGTCGATCTCTTCTAAAACACTTCCTTAGGAGAGCGCCAAGTCCACCGTCTCCTTTTAGGCTTTTGGAAAAAGGTATTTATTATATAAAACCTTTCCGATTCCGCAAATTTCACTAACGCCTGCCCTTTGCTGTTTCGTGATCCGTAGCATTTCTGACCCACAAACTCAGATCGCATTCTTTCTCCTCCTACACGTGCGTTAAAATCGCCAATCAAAATGTCGTGTGCATAACGCCCTTGTGATATCGCGCTGTAGAGCTCATCGAGAAATTTTTCGTATTCTTCCTCTTGCCAGGGGGCGTATGCTACAGTTACTCGTAACGATTTTCCGCGCAGAACGAAATGAATTTGTAGTAAACGGTCGGAGAGGAACCTTACGCCTGCGCAATGTCGATGTAATCGCTCATTCACAAGTGCCCCAACTCCCCTGCGAGTAACTTCTCCTCTCGTTCGCCGGCTGTTGTAAAAGTGTAATCCAGAAGACATGCGCTTTGCATGAAAGTTGCCGCTGCGGCGTGTTTCGCAAAGGCCAACAAAATCAAATTTTATCAATTTTAATTCTTCTTCAAACGCTGTCAGTCTTTCCTCCGATGATAACGAACGGATATTCAAAAAACATACTTGAATCTGCTCTCGGCGTCTTTGGATCCTGCTCTTTTTGACTACAATGGATGCCATACAGCGGGCCAGCCACGGCTTCTTCCACCGGATGCTTCTCTCCTATCCTTCTCCGGATTCTTCTATTCTTCTTCCGAGATATATGCCAGAGCCACAGAACAGCCGACCGTTCAAAGGGAGCTGGGGGAGGGAAGTGAATATTCTTGCTTGTACCAACCGGCGCATTCTTGTGACATCGCGATCTTGGTCCATGGTTTATTGCTCAAAAACCTAAGTTGCAGTATATTGGCTTCCACAGCTCCGAAGAAATTCAGATGCGACCCAGATACGATCCCTTTTTTTACTTTTCGCTGTATATAAACCTATTAGAAAACCCACAGGTTACGAAATAAGACCATATTTTGCACAAATGTAGCAAAGCTACATTTGTGGTAAAGCTTCGTAGTAAAGCTAGATTGTATGGGCTCTTAAAAAGCATTGCAAAAAGATGCAGAAATTATCGATGGTCAACGTTGGTAGAGACATTCGCTTTTGTTGAGTATGAGACTTCAATGAGACTTCGGAGGCAGGCCAATCGATACATTTAACATTTTTCCTACATGCTTGCCTTTTATAGTGTTTGAGCTTCTAAAAGTGTTTTTTAACATATTTTAGTCATACTGGCCACCAAATTCAACTCTCATTTGCGACACCTTTCTTGCAGCGAGAAAAATGCTTTTTTAAGTATAAAGAATATTTATGGGTGAAAAACTTAATTCCTGCTTTCTGCACTTTTAAGATTCAAATACTTTTTATACGACTCTCTCTCTCCCCCCTCCCCCTCCCCTCCCCTTCCTCCTTTACGACCCCGTTGACTGTCGCATCATACGCTTGATTCTGGCGGGTGCACTACACTATTGTCACAACGCATTGAAGTATTTTCAGATGGAAAAGTAAATTTTTGGTGCGTTAAGAAGAACATACAGAGATCTCCTCAAGAAAAAAATATGTCAAAACTTCACCATATCTGCTAAGAAAGCGATAGTCATATTGTAAAGTTTGAAATGGGTGATCGCAAAATTTAAAGATAATGCTATAAATTTTATCGTTTTTTTCTGAACAATTTTTTGTACTCCTCATCATTAAGGGGTACTTTGGTGTCTTTTGGCGCTTTTATCCGCTTTTTGCAAAGTTCGATGGGTTCGTGGAAGCTGCAAGAAAAACTTTTCGAATATGAGCCCCGAGATTATGTAATGTGTTTGAATCTTCTCTGTCCTTGAGTTAAAAATGAGTAGCATTAAGCTTGTGTGAGCTTACAAGGTTCTGCTCAAGTTTCGCACTTTTGACTTGCAGTTCTTGAATTTCTTTTCTAATTGACTGAAGCGACTAGTAAGGAATATTCACACCTCCGGCAAGCTTGAAGGTATCATGTTAGACAACTGATTCGTAATAGTGGCGTACTGTAAGACATATAGCGTAGCTGGGAAAAGTGATGTTTAAGAATCTTAACAGCAAAATCTAGAATCAATATTGAATGAAATATCAGTAAAGGTTGAGACAAATTTTCTGCTTTTTATATCATTCTCAAACCTAACTTTTATGGCCTTAATTCTAGATTTGAAGCGTTAATTTTGTAAGTAACCAGAAAAGCCGTTTTTGGGATACAACTTGACAAATGCGGACAAGTGCCGTTCCCAAATTGTAGGGCAGGACAGAGGTGCAGACTTGCAATTGCTAAGTAAAGCGGTACCGGCAGGATCTGTTAACCTGCACCTCTCTTCCTAAACTCGTCTGCGCAAATGTATGGAGTTCAGAATGTAATCAAAGCTTTTTTTGATTGAAGCGGAGAGTAATTTGCACTAGCGAGGAGGGCACCTACTAGAACCCTATCAACCTTTAGAGGCAGCGTCCAGGCAAATCTGGACATATGGGGCTCTCACGTGGGTCGTAATTTTGGGGCCGTAAATTAGCCAATGCTCAAGCGGCAGCTTAGGCAGTGCTCTAACGGATGAGATATTCGCTTCGGAACTGAACCCCGGGATCGTATTCTGCATGAATTCGTGGAACAACCCACGGGTCCTCGCGCGAAATTGTTTTGTTTTGTTTTGCGCCATGAATCCATGCGAAATACGATCCCGGGGTTGAGTTTCGAGGCGAATATCTCAGCCGTTAAAGCACTACCTAGCTGTCGGTTGGGCAGTGGCTTAGTTAGAGCCCCAAAATCACTATCCATGTGAGAGCCCCTTAGTTCAGATCTACCTGGACACTGCCTTTAAGGCAAGCGGATTGCCCAAACGATGCCTTTAAGCTTGCAAGATATAAAATGCACGCTTACTCTCTTCAGTGAAACCTCCTTAGAGATTCGTGGGTAATCATTGATAAGTCAGCGAAGTTCTTGTTCGTTCAAGGGGCGCAATCAATTTGTATACCTCAGCCAAATTTCAAATGTTGTGTCGATTTTGTATGTTTTGCTTCATACGTAAATTTCAGAAATCAGTGACAAGTCGTACTACGGCTTCACTCAAATGAGTCATGTTTTTTCAGTCATCTTCAGACAGTATAAAGCTACATGGATAGGAAACTCAGGCGACAATGCTCGTTTTCTTAAGCCAAAACTACATCCTAACGCTAAAAAGAGAGGTATGCATGCTTTAGTATTTTCAAAAAAATGTATTAGATATGCGATGACTAATGTCTACTCTCACTCCAACTATCATTTGTAAATTTGTCGTAAATTTTGAACTGACTGGAAAAAACTAAACTCTACCTATTTTTCAAAAAAAAACGCTGGTATAGGTGATTTGATGACGTTGACAAGACGACGTAATATAAGCATAAATCTCATTAGACATTTAGTCGGAAAAATGGATCTACGTCTAAAATCGCGAGGGTAAAATTAAGTTTTGAATTAAGTCTTGTTACACTTTAACTTCTTACGGCGATACGTCATGCACTTCACATTCTTGATAGGGCTCCAGTACAATTCGATAGAGCAACAAGCTCTACAAGATGGTGTGCAAAAGTTTGCACGTTCGACCCACCGTTAATTTGCATCAAATATCTGAGTAAGAAGGCTCGAAAAATAGGAAAAACTCATATTTTCGTTCAAAATAATTATACGGGTTTCCAACTTGTTCACACAAATTGTGCACGACATCAGACATCATATGTACCGTTCCTATATTCTTCCCAATCTGGAATTCGAGATAACCAAAATTTCTAGACTTATATAAAATCGAAGCTGTGCTGTTCCCATCCATGTTATTCTATACTACAAGTCCTCCCAAGCTCTAGTTTTCGAGAAATATTGATTTTAACATGGTACTCGAGTGAGGAAGAGCATATGGCTTTTTTCCTTTACATTTCGCGGGGTTACTTGGTTTTTCACGTAATAAATTCAGTGATTTCCAAAAACTAAAATCTGTGGAAACTTGAAAATTTACATCTATACCTGTAAGGGCTTGTACTACACGGTTATCAAAGGGAGAATCCTTCTTTTTGTATAAGCACAAAAATTTTTGTTTTCTCATTTTTAGTTGAGGAAAGAATACAACACATGAGTGTCTGATATGATGTCCAGTTTGGAGCAGGTTGGAGACCCGTAAGATTTTTTGAACAGAGATATGAATTATTTTTTGAGCCTTTAGTACGACTCAGATACCGGATGCAAAAACACTGAAAAAGTTGCTGCTGCGGTTTACCTAGCATAAATAATGAAAAAGCCTTACGGTAAAGTACATAACTTTCATTCATTGCCAACGACTCAGTTTAGCATAGCAATAAAGTTTTCAGTACTGCAATATCTACAGGGTGTCCCAAAAGTATGTATCGAACGTTTGATCGTTAATAACTCTCTTCCCAAGAAGTCTTTTGCCTTGCTTCAGGTACCGTTTTGTAGAGCTGGCTTCAACTTAGATTTGCAGTATAGAACGAATCACTCATTTCTCTTCATTACTGTAGGATTACGGTAGAAACTTCAAGGAGGGTTTTAAGCAATGAAAGGCCATATTTTGCCCCAGAAAGGAAACAAAACAGCCTTAAAACTTTTACACTAGGCTAATTAGAGTTGCTGATTATAACTGTAAAGTTCCCAACTTATTATGATGCTTCATTGAAGAGTTATGCCAGGTAAGAAGTAGCGACCATTTTTTCAATGTTCCTAAAAAGTGGGATTGCACCGTTTAGAAAGCTTCGTAATCTTGTGAATAGTTAATTATTGGACTCAGCGTCCATAAAAACCCTATTACACAAGTTTTCACGATTTTTTGAAAAATTTTGAAACGGCAGCTTTTTCCACATTAACACCATATGTTTCAAGTTTCTACCGTAATCCTACAGTAATGAAGAGAGATGAATGATTCGTTCTATAGTGCAAATCTAAGTTGAAGCCAGCTCTACAAAACGGTACCTAAAGCAAGGCAAAAGACTTCTTGGGAAGAGAGTTATTAACGATCAAACGTTTGATACATACTTTTGGGACACCCTGTATTTTGGGGTATAATGTAGCCATTGATGGCTCAAAACCCTCCTCAAAGTTCCTATCATCTTATACATAAAGCTGAATGTCTGTTTGTCTGTCTGTCTGTCTGTATGTCTGTCTGTCTGTCTGTCTGTATGTCTGTACGTATGTTCCGAATAGAAAATTCCATTTCTGAACCGATCCGGACCAAACTTGGCACACATACACTACGGGCCCCGGCGGGTGTCATAGGCTACTTTTCGTCATCGATCGATATCGATTTTATCGATTTTTATCGATTTTTTTGCTGAGTTCACCTACGGGGCTGGGAGTTGGCACAGGGGGGTAATCGAGCATGGGGATTCCGAATACAATATTGGTTTTCAGGATTATCGATTACTTTTATCGATTTTATCGATTTTTTTGCAAAGTTTGAGCTACGGGGCTGGGAGTTGGCACAGGGGGGTAATCGAGCATGGGGATTCCGAATACAATATTGGTTTTCGGGATTATCGATTACTTTTATCGATTTTATAGATTTTTTTGCAAAGTTTGAGCTAGGGGGCTGGGAGTTGGCACAGGGGGGTAATCGAGCATGGGGATTCCGAATACAATATTGGTTTTCGGGATTATCGATTACTTTTATCGATTTTATAGATTTTTTTGCAAAGTTTGAGCTAGGGGGCTGGAAGTTGGCACAGGGGGGTAATCGAGCATGCTGATCACCCCCGTGGGGGTAACGGTGGGTAAAAGTAATGGACGATCTTGAAAACTAATATTGTATTCGCCGGAGCCCGAAGTGTATGTGCCAGCCCCCTAGCTCAAATTTTTAAAAAATCGATAAAATCGATAAAAGTAATGGACGATCTTGAAAACTAATATTGTATTCGCCGGTTCCCGAAGTGTATGTGTGCCAAGTTTGGTCCGAATACGGCGGAGCCGGGTAAGCCAGCTAGTAATCCTATAATTCGTAAATTCATAGTAATTGAGAGTGACTGATGATTTGCATTACACTATTATTAATAAGGGGAAAACTATTTGTTGAAGTACCCTTGTAAGATAAAATGGGGATTCCAAGTCTGCTTTTCTTAATTGAGGATCAATTTTGAGAGTGAATATAAGAACGAATGGAGCGAGTAATTAGCTGGGCTTGAAATTTTTTTTAGCCCAAATGAAGCATATGTGAGAATGTACTCAAATTGAGGGTATCTATGCAGGAACGTTCTAACAATTATCGCTCCTTCGTTTTAGAATAAGGGAGAATATTGATATTTTATTCTAGTTGCGCATTTGATCCTTTGGTCCAATGAACTCTCATAATTGCTCCTTCATAAATGCTTTGCAGATAAGAACAGATTTGAAATCAGTGTTTATGTCCTCTGAGATGATATGCATTTTATCTCGAAAGGCCTTTTGGACTAACTCCTTCTTTTTTAAGTTCAAGCCAGCTCTACTGAAGGTAGCTGGAGCTAGGCACAAGACTTTGTGGGAAAAGAGGTATTAGCGATTAAATGTGCACTCACTTTTAGGACACCCTGTATGATTTTGCAGCTGATATTTGAACTTGTTGAAAATAAATTAAAAGAAATAAGGATGGGAATTCTGAACGAGATCAAAAGCTGTGTTCGATTCGCTGATTACAAACGAGAAAAATTTGTGGGTTATCAGGACCAGTGCGGTCAGAAAAATTCAATGGCGATTTTGACCAATTGATGCAATCCAAAATTTCAAAACCAAGATTTTCATCAAAAATGGTACTCAGTCTACAAACGGGACGAAACAGCTTAAATTAAGGATAGTAAGAAACAACTGCACAGCATACAGCAACATCGAAGCGAAGAAGCCTCCATAGATTTGAAAGACTTCAGATCCAACTTATTTTTCGATTTTCTGCTAAATCAGTAAAACTGAGTGAATTTGTGAAATGAATAATTAAACCAAATCCAACTAAAAAAAACTTGCAAAGCGCACTGATTCAAAAGATCATTCCAAAACCATTTAAAAAGAAACAAAATTTGCTTGCGTCAGTTGTGCAAATCTTTGTCACGGATTTTCCTCATCAAAGATGCCCTAGCACAGTCGATCATAGTCGCTCTTGTTGTCGCGTAATGCTTAAGGTCCTGGGCAGAGCTGGCCCGCGACTGCAGCTCACGCGACGAAGTCGCGCGATCTCCAGTCGCGACGACTTGCACGAAAGTGGCGACTGGGACGCGACGACTGAGTCGCTCAGTCGCCGGAGGCGTGCATACCTCCGACGCGATTTCATGCAATTGCACAACACTTTACACATTGCACGTACTCTAATTCATTACTAAAAATCAGTGCTATTGTTGACTTTACTACATAACTGTCATTCAAAAAAGGTGTAACAGCAGGCAAAGAAAGTTTGAAAGTTTATCACATAGCGTCCGACTTGACGCCAATCACAATGTTATGCACTCAAATGATCAACAATAAAAGGAGAAGTCAACGACATCGTGTTCTGAAAAAAATGGCTCATAATCAAATGACTATTAAGAGGTTTCAGTTAGAAATAGGAAACAAGTACCAGCAAGGCCACCGGTACCTGCGGGCATTCCGAAAAAACCGTTACGCGGCAAAACGATGTTTTCAAAGCTAGAAACGTCATCCATGTGCTGCACATGATAGACGAAAATACTGCCAACCTCATGCAGTCTCGTAGTTTGCTGCATACCATCGTCAACGTAGACTGTGAGCATATTCTTTAAGTCGATGCGCAATCGAACAGGGTAGGGCTTGTAACGGATCTTTTTGGCAGCCTAAGATATATGAGATGTAGAAAAATGTAGATGAGACAGGAAAAAATGCAAAATGAGTACTAACTTTTTTATCAAATTTTTATTGGTCGCCCCGTCGCTCGCCGCAAACGAGCGACGTGACATCGCGCCGATTCGGCAAAATCGCGACGATATCGCCAGGTGAGCTATGAACGCCGAAAAGTGTGGCGCGATCCGTCGCGCAGCGCAACCATCACAAACGCGTCGGGACCCACACACTAAATAGCGTGGCTTGGAACACTTGTCCAAAATGATAGGGCGCTACGCGACGAGTCGCATGAGCTCTGCCCAGGGCCTAAGGCATGCCTCGCGCGATTCGGCTAAATCGCAAGCTTCACGCGACCTGGCAGTTTGACAGATGTCTCCAAATTTGTCGTGCGCGG